CCAACATGTTTCTGTAGATAGATGAATATGACAGTGTAGGATTTCGTGGACTATATCCCCATATCCTCCCTGTTCGTCGTTGTATTCTCGAAATCGGTGGAATTTCGTTACAACTCTTCAGATTCAAGGTGGCAATCGAAGACGAAACTTAAATATGTGGCTGACATTCCAACTTGGAGCCATGGAGTACCTTGAGATACCAAGACTGGTTGGTGGTGCAATAACCATCTTGAAAAATGATGGAGTTCGTCAATGGGAAGGATGACATCTAGGCTACCAGGGTGGAGGGTGGGATCCCCATCGGCCGCTCCGAAAAACACGGAAAGACAGGATGCTTCTCATTCGGTAACTCATCTGGTTGGTGGTTATACCTACCCTACCCCTCTGATGGTGGTTAATAATGATGGTTAATGATGGTTAATAATTAATAATCTGGTTGGTGGTTTTTCGCCCTAGCCCTCTGAAATTTATGATGGAGTGAGTGAAAGTCAGTTGGGATGATGAAATTCCCAACTGAATGGGGAAAATAAACATGTTCCAAACCACCAACCAGTCATACCTTTGGGTAAATGATATGGCTGTGTCTGAAAATGGTGCAGAACCCCCCCAAAGGTCTGGCAAAATCTGCATATTTGATCGACAACTCTCTGCAATTGATGCTGACATTATCTTAAATTCCCCTTTTGCAGAAGGCATTTAGAATGGATCATCACATCATAAAGACAATAATAATACTAAGAATGATATATCTTCATAAGAATAATATTAGTAATGTGGCAAGCCCAATAATAAACTATTTCCAATTATGGCTGCAATTAATGCTGGATATATCATTATATATAGAACCAGTTATTTACATGGGGTAACAGCTTAACATAGTTGTTAAATTCTTTAAAATAAACCAACCAACCAACAATAACTAACAATAGCCAACAATAACTCACAATAACCAGCAATAACCACCATAACTACTTATAAGTGCAGTTCCACCCCAGTGATATCAGACCCGCGGTGCCTCCCCTCCGGAGAACATGCTCGAAGCGTCATTGACCTTGCATCTGAAAGAAAGGGCCCCACGAACTGGCTGCTGGGTTGCCTTTCCTTGGCTTGACCAGGGTTTATAAGGTATATACGTATATACATACATACAAAGATACATATATACATAGAGTATGCATCAGTAAAGATGGGGTTACATACCAGTCAAGCCCTTACAGCCCCCATCTTTCACTCGCTTCCAAGCCCCTCCAGGCGTCCCGGCATCCGGAATGATGAGACTGGTCACAGTGACACCAGTGGTACTCAGCCGGTGGCTGCGAAATCAATGGGAAGGTCTGCAGATGGGAAGTTCAATGATGTTCCATGATGTTAACCAATAAACATGAGAATTCAACCATAAAAAACATGCGCTAAAAAGCACATATACGATTTGGTAGTTATGATAGGTAGGGTGGTTTATAACTAGGCCAAAGATTGGAATTATGGTGAGCATTTATTTATAGTTAGATGGGGGTTATAGATTAACAAACATATCTGGGGGCACTTCTTGCATTGAATATTTACAATTCCTTGAGGATAGTAACTATGGCTAACGATAGATATGAAACCTTCCTCCATAGGCATGCCCGGTATGGATAAAATCAACTCATGACGCAACCAAACCAAGGTGTACCAATAGCACATTCATAAAATGTATGTGTATATATATATGTATATTTATATATAAATATATGTACATATATATAAATACACGGATATGATATGTCTGTATATATATATATACGTATATATGTGTATATATATATATGTATGTTTACCATATATATATATGCATCTATGTATATGATGGATATGGATGTATGGATGAAATCAACAAATTAAATGGTTGTGGCTCAAAACCCCAAACTCGCCTAGGTACTTTAAATAGTTGGTTAATGGATGTTTTGTTTACTCCCCCATATTCATATTCCCCCAAAATATGGTAAATTCACAGGTTTTGACCCATCCCCGAAATGGGGAAATGGTGATAAACCACGGAAATTTCAGCCGTGTAGCCCCATTTTGGAGTCAATGTTGCGTGATTTTGTTAAACATGATCGCTTGGGATTCTTTACACTTGTTTCCCAAATACCTTTTGCCTCCCAATTCCTTGCAGATCTCTGTATAGTAGAGTCTCAGTTTTGGTGTCCACTTTTATACTTTTGTCGAGTGTGACAGCGATTGGCAGGAACTATCACGGACATCTGTGACATTAGATGAAATGAAGGAGATAACATTACCTCTTCATCTTATTTACACCACAAATGAGTTTGACTAAAAAGAACAACGTATACCTATTACCAAAAAAGTAGGGCCCAAAACCTCTTGTAGCCGCTTTGCAGAAAGGCCTTTGAGAAACGTCATTTTCGCCATCTAACTACTCCAAAGTCTGGGGCCTAATTCGCTGAACAGAAAATCTTGGATTGGACCCTGGAAAAATGTGTTTACTCCATATCTGGTTCTATATCCTTATTAATGGCAACCACTTCAAGGATTTTTTTTTGCTACCCTAAACCCAATTGGTTCCAGTGAAAGCACATCGATTTCACAGTCACATCTAGTGTCACCGCCGGATCAATAGACTCTGCTGATTGATTGCTTGATTGATTGATTGGTTGGTTGATTGATTGATTGATTAAGGGGATACGGGGGTACCCCAAGCAGTGATCAATTACTATCACAACTGATACCAGTGACTGGTAAAGTAGCCTCAAAAACAATCCTCTTTTCACATTACCTGGGTATGGGTCAATTTTTTTTCCTTGTCAAACATGCGTACTTTGAAAAAAGGAACTGGTTGGTGGTATACCTACCCCTCTGAAAAATGATGGAGTTCGTCAGTTGGGATTCCCAATATATGGGAAAAATGTTCCAAACCACCAACCAGGGATGCTTAATACTAAAAAGCCGCCCAAAAGTGATCCTGCAGAGTCTCCAATTTTGACCCATACCCCACTTCTGCGTCCGCCGAGCAACTCCTTGAAGTTGGCCATGATCGGGTCGGTCACGGCTGAGGTATACTGGCAGTGGCAACACCCGGCTGTGGATCCAAGATGGTCATATATGTCATATGGAATGGGCTGTATCACCATGAACAAGGGGGGTAAAATACGTGAATTAGCCATCCTGGATTGGGGATATCTAAGGATATGAAAAGCCAGCAATTATTGGGACCAATGAAGAGATCCAATATGATACAGGCCGCATTGACCAGGCTTTCTGGGATTTGATATTGCTTCACCCGCGAGGTTACACCTCTGGGATGAGGAAGAGATTTTCAGTTCATCTTCGCAGCTGAAGGAAGCTTTTCAATACATGGGCTCACATCCATTTTGGGGGTATCAATTTGACCCATCATGTACAGAGGATGATTGAAAAAAAACCTCTTATTGTTGGTCAATCATTGGGTGACTTGACGATCAGCGCCAGGAGAAACAAGGAATCAGTGTCCAAAGGCTCCTGCTCTTCTGTTTCTGGGACACCACACAAGATGTGCTTCGAGTCCATGGCCTTGTTGGAAAGCCCTGCTGCCAACTCATCCTTCTTGTGGGCAGCGAACCTGTAGCTGCCAAAGTGCCATTGAACTTGACGGATTCACTTGTGCAAGGCAACGGTGAACTCGTCCAATGACATGGCAACCCGCTCATCGTGGGGCAGGTTAGGACACAATGTTCTGAGGAATTGGGCTGCGCGGAAGACTTTGTGCGGATCGCGCATCATATCCGAGTGGAAGAAAACCAGCTTTGTCCTGAAGCATGGGGGCACCTTGGTCTCCGCCAGAAAAACAGTAATAGCTGGCTTGGCTGCGTCGTACATGCTCAAAGCCATCCCTTGCAAAGAGATCACGACAGGTGGCTGGCTGCACTTGGAATGCATCCAGTCATGCCAGTTTTGGATAAGCTCGTCACTCGGTTTTTGTTGTCATTTGAGTTAGCTTGTCAACCATACGCACCAATATATTTTTGATGGTCAATTCCCTAGATTTTGTTCGCCTCCGATAGGCCGGTCAAAAATACAGTCCAAACATATCCTAGACTAAGATAGTGGAAAAAATTACGGACAATGACCTTTTCGCTCTTTTCAGGGTTACTACCCTCTGGTAAACGTTTACGGTTTGCGAACTGGAAAATCACCACTTTTCGTAGATAAAACACCTATTTCAAAAAGGGCCATGGCTTCGATCGTTCGCGATTAGCAAGTTTTCCAGAGGCTTTCCATATGAAAAATCCCGCCATGGCATCCATGGCAACCCGAAACGGAGCCGCACCAGAGAAGCGTCACTGCCAGCACTCAACATGGCGTTGTACCAAGCCTGCGGCGGTCACGGCCATCCCACAGCAGAACGCCCTTGGGACTGAGCAAAGTTACGCTGTTAGACTAGGCGAGAGTAGTTATGACTAGGCATGTTATAACATGTTTTTTGGGGATGTGAATTGGGGTTTCTAAATCAACTTACAACTCGGGACCAACTTCTAGAAGAACTATAGTGACAGTAACACGATCAAGTAGTATCACTCCCGATAGGTGGTTGAAGATCTCTCCAGGAAAACTCCTCAAAAAGAGATCTCGGGGAGACACGCTGGGCTGTCCCGTTCGACCCACCGACAGTCACCATTGGCATTGTGGGACAATCCACCAAAAATCTTCGGGAAGGTGGGTATGTCTGATCTGATGCTCGAAAGTTTGATGGTTGATCGTCATTTTCCCTCCAAATCAGAAAGTGGGTTATAAACCTCACTAAAAACACACTGGACATTGCCCCTACTTACCCTACTTATAGCTGGAGTTACAACCCACTTACTCACTGTGAGCCTTGACGTAGCTGATACTGGTTGGTGGTATACCTACCACTCTGAAAAATATTAGTCAGTTGGGATGATGACATTCCCAATATATGGGAAGTCATAAAATTCCATGGTTCCAAACCACCAACCAGTAATATAATTTTCGTCAACCAAGGACTACCACAGCTTCTTGTCAGTGACATCCCCCCGTACGTCGGGTCGCCCGGCCGTTTGGAGTGAATCGTCTCCACCCTGCACGGGCCCTGCGTCGAGAGTGTACTGCACGAAGATTGAACTTCCCGACGTAGTCCCATCTGCGAGTTCCTGGGCAAATTCCCAGGCTGCCTGGAGGATCTTGGTTTTGATGTCGCAGCTGGATTTTACTGATCAATTCATAGAAAAAATCCCAAGAGCGGCGCCGTCACTAACATTACATGGCCAACCTGGATCTCCCACAACATCAAAGTTGTTACATGACATGCTGCTTCAAAGCATGATTTGTTGTGGCAAAGAACAGCTAATTTTCAGCTTGACACTGACTTGTGGGATGTCAGCACTATCTAACCAGCTTTTCATGTGATGTTTCCTTCAAACTGGCAAAATTTCAGGAGAACCTTGGCAAAATGATCGAACACACGGCTTCTGCTGACAGACTCATCTGCGGATCCGTCAACGATGAAGGCGGTTTTATTATATGGGACCCCACTCATCCACCAGCTATCATCGCCTTACATCCATTTTACATCCATTTTGTAAAACAGTAAAACACAATAAAACACAATAAAACAGGATGTGTTTTCCACATATCATCTGTTTCTTTTTTCTGTGTTTTATTGTTTGATATTCTTCGTTGTGAAAGGATCATGGATTCAGCAACGCACAACCTGGAGACCCGTGGTGACCCTGTGACAATTTCAGTGCCTATGGCAACTCCGGCAACTTCTTCGCTGAGCTACGCTCAGTGATTACTGTGATTACTGTCAATCGCTGTTAATTACTGTTTAGAAGTCGCAGCGATTCAACATGCAACCAATGTCAAACTGCCTGAGACGCAGTAGGAATCGAAAGAAGAAGTTAATTAGGAGATACGTATATCACCAAGTAACATATAGTTGGAATAAGTTGGAATGGTATTTCCTAATTAGGATACTTTTTTTGACGTGATTTTTCAGTTAGCAAGATTCCTTTCCATTCCAACATACGGCAGACTCTGTGTTAATATCAGCCACAGGACTGCGGAATCCAAGCCATGGCAGCTCTGGGCGACATCAGATTTTCCATGAGAATCGCCATAAATCTGGCCAATCTGGGATATCCTGCAATCAAAATGAACTGATTAGATTCATAGCCATTTTATGCCATTTTCATCACAGCATCCTCCCGGAAAGATAGATCAGTAGAATAACAATCCAACTAAAATAATGGCACATGACCTTTCTTTTCCGGGGTTGCTGGTTACTCTACATCTCTTGTTGATGGCAAGTTACCTCAATTCTTGCTGCTGAGTTTTGTCGAGTCATCCCAAAAACCTGTCGTCGCCAAGGGTCAAAAGGCTTGCAGTCGTTCACCTCGATTTTAAAATGGTCGGCATATTGTGAAACAACGTCCTGGCAGATCTGTTTGAAAAAGGCTTTTTGCAACCACAACTTTGCTGCGGTAAACGAACCTACTCAGTGCTCACACATTGCCATGTCAATATGTTCCCCGGAAAAAACATATGTTGGCCTAAATTTGAAGATGTTTGGGGTAACTGTTGATGAATCATTCCATGGAACATGAAGCAAGGACAATCCCGTTTGTCAAAAAGCAAGGAGAATCGTCTACAAATAGGGAATGCTTCATTGCCACGTTTGAGTAACACGGGAAAAAAGAACTCCACATTGCAAAAGTGGGGTTAACCATGTGTTTTTTTCAACGTTTCATCACCGCTCCTGGGGGAAAGTTGCAAATTACCTCAAGTTGCCCGGTTCGAACTGACAACTGTCATCTGTCACACTGCCGCACCATATATGGAGTTGTCCTAAAATTTGGGCTCCAACATGGTAGTTTTGAAGAAATCATATGACATCATTACCAATACGGATTTTATTATGACATGAGGATCTATATGATCGATTACCATAAAGAGAAATCATACGACATCATGATCAACCATCACTGGTTGGTGGTATACCTAGTCACCACCAAGCAGTACATCTCATTAACCATTATTAAACCACCACTAACCAACCACTATTAACCAGTACGCCATGATCAATACCATAATATGACCATCAGCTTGGTTTTTCTCCGTACCAAAGGGTTCTTGTTTCCTTGATGGAGGTCTGGGGGTTTTGTTTTGTGTCGCGGGTCGCGGGTCCAACCGGCAGGTCGTGTCACTGGAAAGCAACAAAACAGTATTAAATATCCCATTCGTTGAATGATTTAATATGCAAAACATCTCCTTTTTGGAAGTTTGATGAAGTTTGCCATTTTGTGACATGTGATTTTGTTTTGCAAGCATGACACTTGGTGAGAAGCGCGCGTGAAACAATCGCGTGTCAAATTCCGCACCTATGGCCGCTGCCAAACATATCATTTTTAGAGGTTTGGGCAGTGGTGAAACTATAGAGTGTCGAGTAAGGGTAAAGTGTGGAGTGTGATTTCTAGGGTCTGGAATGTTGAGTGTAGAGTTCGGAGTGTAGAGTTCGGAGTGTGGAGTAAGGAGTGTGAAATTTGGAGTGTAAAGTGTAGTGTGGAGTGTACGTAGAGTGTGGAGTGTATGGAGTGTGTGGCGTGTGTGGAGTGTGTGGAGTGTGAAGTGTGGAGAGTGAAGTGTAGAGTGTGGCATGTGAAAATTGTGAAGTGCAGATTGTGGACTTTGAAGTGTCGAGTTTGAAGTGTTGAGGGCATAGTCTCCTAATGGATTGGTCTTCTTTAATAATACAAAAACGGCTTCGGTTTCGCTCAGCTTTCCCAACATTTACAGCCAGTTACCACCACAAGAATTGGGATGGTGAAGTCCATCCCTTGTAATCAGCTCCATGGTGAAGTGAAACCCTCCATTTCTAAAAAAACTATTTGGGGATTTCCTCAAATGGGGGTCCCTCCTAATCATCCAAAATCAGATCATTTTAGTATTGAAACCCAGGCTTGGGGATATTTGGAGGAATCAACATCCACTTACCAGCTATTTTATGGTACCTAGGGTGCACGGTTTTGACTCACAACCGTTTCCCATGCATTGGCATGGCAATGATGAGAGAACGACGGGTTCCCGCAGCCAAAAAAGTGAAAAAGTCGGCGCCCCGCAGCCCCGCAGTCCGCACCAAGGGCGTGCTCCAGCAGTGGCAAGTAAAAGCCTAGAGACATCTTTTTCAGGGGCCCCTGACTAGCCTCTCATAAACTAACAGTTTGCGAACTGGACACTGGACACTCTCCATCTTTTGAGTTCGGTAAATCAACGAACTATAGATCTATAGCTGGCCTTTGAAACAATAGCAAATTGTTAGTCATAAAAACAGAGGGTATCCTGCAAAATGACCATCGAATCAATGGGATTCTCTAATCGAGTAATTTTTGTCGCTCTTCTAGTCCATAGCTATATGGAAAATGGATGAAAATGGCCCCTTGGCAGATGATGACTGTAGATAAACAGTGGTGGTTTTCCATAGCTGAAATAAAGATTACCAAAGGGTTTTTTCAAGCCAATCTGATTTTTTTGGTTGATACGAAAACATGGTGATTGCCCCAAAAATGAGGATGGAAACATGAGCAGGGTTCTTAACGACTGACTATGGAATGGCATTGGGGGTATCCTCCCCATTGGACCAATCCCCACGATGGTCGTATATACAATATTATACCATAAAATATATAACATATAATATAATCATATACAGTAGTATATACAGTATACATATTTTTATAGTATATGTAATATCTTGTTATATATCCAATCATATATCTACATCCCTCTCCGAATTGTGGTTGGTTTATGTTGCTTTTCCACTTCGACTAGTGTGAAGAAAACGCCACGTTTGACAAACCCACCTGGAATGAGATATCGGTGGTGTCATCACATTTTACCTCCGTAGCCGGTGGTTATATAACATGTTAAATCTTGTTATATCATGTTAGATCCCAGTTTTCCCAGATGAAATAACATATTGCTGCTTTTTATTTCTCCGTATAAAGAAATGTGGATAAACCAGCCACTTGGTTTACCCGACATTAAAACATAAATCCAGCTGCTCCATGCAAACCATCCTGGTTGACATCCCACTTTAGCCCCACTATCTCGTCATAAAATCGTGAAACACTACAAACAAAATCGCTCACTAAATGCCTAATCTTGGAGACCTTGCCAAAAAAAGGTAAGGCATAAGGCAAAACAACATCGGAAGATATTAGATTGCGACATACCTTTTGGCGTCATCAAACATGGCTACAGTAGCTGGGACATCTCAAAACCAAACGGCCTTCAATTGGTATGACAATCATCGAATTGGAGATTTTCCAGCAAGAAAAGTGGATTGTCAGAGGCTACCCAGAAATCAGCCTTCAGAAATCAGCAGCTCGGTCGACAAGTCACTTGCAATCGTCTCGGGTTTCAGTTCCCCAACGGCGGCCCCCTCGCAACTCGTGGTGATGGTGATATGATGCATGGATTCACCGGCAATGGGAACTGTGACGGATTCAGAATTTAGATTCAATCAACACGCCATCCGACTGTGGGGTTTCTATCTTTTTCTGGGTCACGTTTCATGGGGACTTCAAGATAGTTCAAGCAGGTCCACATGCTTATTTTAAGAGGGTTCGAAGCCAAAACATGGGAGAGTCAGCAAGAGAAATTCTTAGAAGGGCCTCCATTGGGTCTTCCATATTGATGGCAAACGCTACTTTGCATCTGAAAACTGCCCAGACTAATTTGGCAAGCCCTTTTTCCAGTACCCAATTCTACCATTTGGGACTATTCAAACGTGTAATTGTATGTAATTTTTGGGTTTATCACTTCCTGACGAATCGCAAACTTGATTTCGGGTGATTTCGGGCCAGTACACGAATCTTTGTCACGTAAAAAATGGCTTCATGGAGAGTTCCCACAGTTTTTTGCAACGCTGGTGGCTTCAGGATTCCTGACACGTCCGACTTTTCGTAGTACCCTCTGGTTATTTACCATGGCCATGGAAGCCATGGCCCATTTATAGATGATTTTCCCAGCTACAAACCTTCCTTTATAAGGGATTTTCCATGGCTATGTTGTAGAACCAGATGGTAACATTGGTAACTATGAAACCACTTAGTAAACTCCATATGATCTACATGTGCAACATTGGATATCCTGCAGAACACCTGCACTAAAGGACTATCCTCATCGGCCAAGAACGAACTGGGTTATAATGTGGGTAAAAACAATAAACCATCCCCCTCATACCGTCATACCACCATTTTTATAAGTGGTATGAAAAAAACATGTATCCAATCATGGCTGGTAAACATGACATTGTTTTAGCCACAGTTTTATCATGGAAAAGAAAAGCCACGTTGTTTCGCAGTCAAGGCTCCATGGACTCACAGTCTTCCTGCATCCAGAATCTCACGCGTCCAGAGACCACGTAGTGTTCCTGGGGCGCAGCTGCGCTGCCGGTGGGCCATGAGCCCCCGTCTCGGCACCCGGCGGCTGAGATGTGAACCATAACTGGGCCATGGATTCCATAGCAACATGTTTTCTATGACCGGTATTCTACATCGTCAACCAGCTAGAAAAAAGAACACATTTCGGGCAGATGACAGTCTAACCCATGCCCATTTATGGTCTCTTGAAATTCAAATGGCACCTCGAATTTTGGCTACATGGGCTTATTTTCAGCCATCATGGTAAGCGAGTGCTTCCCAAAAAATAAACTGATATCAAAAAACATGTCTACAAATTGCTGGTTGGTGGTTTCAACCCCTCTGAAAAATATTAGTCAGTTGGGATTGTTGTTCCCAATATATGGAAAAATAAAATTCATGTTCCAAACCACCAACCAGATTGAGATGAGCATTGCAAACTCAAAAACAGATGGATTATCCGATGATTCTGGAAAATAAGAGCCACAAGAATGAGGCCTTAACAGCACTTTCTTTGCGACTTCAAACATGTAACATCCCCAACATCCATCAACATCCAGCCCCCAAAAATGGCAGCTTCAACATGGAAATTGATGATCAGCCATCAAACATTGGGATATCTTATTTTCGGAGCGACGGGTGAACTGAATGCTGCTTTTTGCGATGGATTCCCCCATCGATTTAAAGTTGTGTTTGGACGAAATGAATTTCATTAGGGACATAGTCTTGTTAGCAGTGGCGACAACATCGGCATGACCATTCATTTTTGAGTCTCGGATTAGACCATCGAACCATCCATCCAGTAAAAAGCAGAGCCACAAAAAAAGGATCGGTACAAGGATTCTGGATATTCTGACAGGGAGGGCATCAAAATAGAGAGTTTGAACGGGTACCCTCTGGTAATTTAACATAACTATGGAAAATCACAATTTTTCATCGGAAAATTCACTATAAATGGTGATTTTCAATAGCTATGTTAAATTACCAGAGGTTACTGATTAGTAAAGCCATGTTTTTAGCCAATGATAGTCACCATCCTCAATGGAGGTTGATTCTTCGGTATACCGTTTTTTTTGGGATGATGATTGTAACCCCATAGTCTCATAGTTATGGTTGGTTAATGGGTTGGTAACAATGTTGGTTTATGATTGGGATTACCTCGGAAATTTTAAGTACACATCCAAGCTTGACCCAGTCATCCTACCCTCTGGTAAACATACAAAACACTATGGAAAATCACAATTCTTCATGGGTAAATCAACTATTTCGACTGGGCCATGGCTTCAATAGCTATGTTTGTTTACCAGAGGGTAACGTTACTGCGTTTCTTCTTTCACCCGCAATGTTTGGTTGTTGGGCCTCTAAAAAACTGAAAGCCAAGCCACTGTCTCATCTTGCAGCTTCCTTCGGGGCTCGGAGGCCGGATAGGATACTTCTTTCTTTCTTAGAACTGGGGACTCAATGAGTCTCATTACTAAGGACAAATGACTTACTTTAGGCATTTCAGATACTGTTTTCACCGTACTTTTTTTCGCCTCCTTTTTTGACTTTGCAGATTTGAGGTCTTGGAATAGGCCTTCGGACTTCGTTGGCTATTTTTGGTACCCGTCTGATCCCAACAGGTCGACGACGTTTTTCCGGCCGATTTTTTCCGCATCAGTTTTCAAAAAAAACCAAAAAATAAAGGCATCTCTGGCACAGAGATAGTTTTTCCCATGAATTCTGGGGTATAGACGGTATAGATATAGTTGGACCATCTGAAAGGTGGGAAACTGTGGAATGTCTGGAGATATTCCATCTACTTCACTCCAAGATGATTGGATGCCTCTTAGTTGTGTTTCAGCTACCGCAAGTAAAACTCGAACATGTTATTCCCCACCTGCCAGGTGAGGGTTGTTAGATTTTATGTCAGTTGCCTCCTCCTCCTCCTCCTTCTCCTCCTTCTCCTCCTCCTCCTCTCCTCCTCCTCCTCCTCCTCGTCCTCCTCGTCCTCCTCGTCCTCCTCGTCATCCTCGTCCTCCTGCTCAACTGCGACCCTCGACGCACAGTGTTCTCTGTCGGACCTCAACCACGACCATCCATGCTCAGTGTTCCCTGCCGGACCTCAACCACGACCATCCACGCCCAGTGTTCCCTGCCGGACCTCAACCACGACCATCCCCGCCCAGTGTTCCCTGCCGGACCTCAACCACGACCATCCACGCCCAGTGTTCCCTGCCGGACCTCAACCGCGAGTATCCACGCCAAGTGTTCCCTGCCGGACCTCATGAGATATGCCAGATAGAAAGCCAGAAGATATGCCAGATGGAATGTTAGATAGAATGCCAGAAGATATGCCAGATAAAATGCTATGAGATATGCCAGATAGAATGCCAGAAGGTATGCCAGATAAAATGTCAGATAGAATGACACAAGATATGCCAGATAGAATCCCAGAAGATTTGCCAGATAATTTGCCAGAAGATATGCCAGATAGAATGCCAGAAGATATGCCAGAACATATGCCAGAAGATATGCCAGATAGAATCCCAGAAGATTTGCCAGATAATATGCCAGAAGATATGCCAAAAGATATGCCAGATAGAATGCCAGAAGATATGCCAGAAGATATGCAGAAGATATACCAGAAGATATGCCAGATAGAATGCCAGAAGATATGTCAGAATATATGCCAGAAGATATGCCAGATAGAATGCCAGAAGATATATCAGATAGAATGCCAGAAGATATGCCAGATAGAATGCCAGAAGATTTGCCAGATAGAATGCCAGAAGATATGTCAGATAGAATGCCAGAAGATTTGCCAGTAAGAAAATGTAAAAATGTCACGGTGGGGATCACACGAAGTAAAGTAATTGTTTTTTAATCTTCAACCAGCAAGAGCGGGGTCTAGGTAACAAAGAAGAGAAATGATTTCAACTTGAAAATGGCAAGACATTCTATAGTATTTGGTGGTTTAAACGCATCCCCAAAGCAAGGTTGCAAATGAGTCAATCATCCAAAATAGTGGTGGAAAACAATTAATGTATTAATGTCAATTAATCGATTCCCGGGAGACACTTGTGACACTTGTTGATAGAATGAGCCTGGGCGTGCTTCCGTAGCAGCACGCCGTGCGGCATCATTGGAAGCCTACGACTGGAGGATCCCGACCAGAATAGCTGTGGTCTCGTCGTCCCGAAATGCTTCTGGATCTTCTAGTTGGACCAACTAATCTCACAGTCAGGCAAGCCTTTTCCAAGAAGTTCACTTCGCCTGCCTCAAGGTTGGCATTGCCGCCACGCCCTGGAAGTGTGAGCTCGAGGTTGTGTGTGCATCATACAGGCCATCCAGTATGATTCCAACATCCACCCCATCCAGTATGATTCCAACATGCCCCACTAGTATCAAGTACATCATAACTGTTTTCCCATCAAAATCCCCCCATTTTGGGGGGACCCCAAAATGTGTACCATTCGCAGTCTCAATAACGATGCCATGAGTTGATTCAATGGTTTTGTGGTCAATTTTGTACATCTTTTTGACCACAAAAGTACAAATAAATGTTGACTTATTGATAAAACAAAACTAAACAAAAGTACCATCAGTTTTGTTGACTTATTGATACATGTCTAAATGAACAAAAGTACTTATTAAATAAACCTGACCACAAGTGCAAAACATCTACAGACATGGTTTTGTCATGATTGCGAACATACAATCATCTGGACGCGGGATCCATATGGATCCATGGGTAGTGTGGCAAACCGAAAAGTGCAAATTTTGGGAAGCGTTAACAACCATACCCCAATAAGTGGCTTATGGTTTCTTGTTTACGACCTTCTTTCGTGAACAATGCATCACAATGTGGATTTCATTGATCCTTGCCATTAAATGGGACCATATCATCATTCCTTGCTGATGGTACTCAGTAAAAGATATTTCTTTGCTGATTATTGTCATGGATCCGCATTAATGATAAAAAAGGACTACCCTCTGGTAATCTAACATAGCTATTTACAATTGCCCTTTATAGTTGATTTACCCATTAAAACATGTGATTTTCCATAGCTGTGTTTAATTTCCAGAGGGTAATTAACATGTTTAACATATTGAACATATCCAAGGTTTCTCGGTTTCCACAGGGCCTTTATCATTTGTTCCCTCTGTTCATTTGGATCATTGAAAACTAGAACCTGCAACACCTCGAACGCAACCGTGGCAGTACTGAGCAACTGGGCAGTACTGAGCAGTGTTCAATCCTGACATGTTGTATGCTTCGTCCTTTGAAATCCTGGTTGGCTAATAGATGCTAATAGATGGTATGTTAATAGATGTAAAACCCACACATATATTTAAGTTAATACCTATGAATATATATTAAACCCACATCTATTACCATCTGGTTATTTAACATAGCCATGGAAAATCACCATTTTTAAGAGGTAAACCATCTATAAATGGGCCATCTATACCATGGCTATGTTAGTCATAACCAGAGGGTAATAGATATTAATAATAGGATTTCCCGGAAATCATCGATTCTGATGCCCAATATTTCTGGGTTCCGTTCCGAACTCATCAACCCTTCATCGCCGCCATCGGAGAGGCTCCTCTTCCATTCCCTGGCCTGGCTGGATCGCTGGATCGGCTTTTTATGGCTGGGAAAATCCCCAAAGTCCATGGAGATTTGATTCATAAATGGATGTGGGTGAAAATGGAAGACCGATGTGGGACCACAGATGTGAATGTCTAGTTTAGTATTCACCATCCATAATTTTGGGGTACCTAGTTTTGACCCATACCCAAATGGGAAAACACTTTGGACCAAACTGGCTCGGAGCAATCTGGGTGGTTGAGCTCGCCGTACCATTGGTTCCATTGGTTGGTATACTATTAATATATGGTGAATATGAATGGATATTATACTTGGTGGCTCATCCCACTGCTCGTAAGTGGGTTATAACCCCAATTATAAGTGGATTAACCCTACTTATCCCATTTATAACTGGGGTTATAACCCACTTACTAAGTGGGATGAGCCACCAAGTATGGTTAATGATGGTTACTGTTACGTGGTTGGTGGTTCTTCGCCCTACCCCTCTGAAAAATGATGGTTACGTTCGTCAGTTGGGGTTATGAACTTCCCAAGTGTTTCTGGAAAGTCATAAAATTCCATGGTTCCAAACCACCAACCAGTAATGTAAGTTGGTCAGTTGGGTCATTCATACCTCTCTCATTACATTGGTAAAGGGGGTTATACTACTTGGTTCATTGGGGATGAGATATATCGGCTTGGAGAACCTTGGAGACTGAACCGGGCCATGCCCCCCAAAATCAAGTATAAAACGACCCAACCAGGCTGTACCCAGAGATGAGCATCAAATCTGCAACTTAAAATCGCTAACGATTCACCAAGAACAAATCAGCATTCCCTCGCCGCTTATTCGATGTACCTATATACATATTTCCCCATCTTCGGTGTTGGGGGAAAAAAAGGGGCAAAACTTACCCTCCAGTAAATTAACATAGACCCTGGCAGATGGGGGTTGGAAGACTAGTTTCCAATAGAAAGTGATTGTTTTCAGGGTCTATGTTAACTTACCAGTGACCAGAGGGTAAATGGTCCTTCATCTTTCAGGACATGAATCTCAAGATCTTCAAACATTTGAGCAGCTGCTAAAGTAGCCTCTTCGAGTTGACGGAAATGATACAATCCTTGAAAAAATCTTGGGGATCATCCATTAACTCGAATTCAGAAATCCATATCACAATGCTGTTATAAACCATTATTAACCACTATTATCCCATTATTAACCACTATTAACCAGTATTAACCAACCATAATGCTGCTATTTTTAATGATTTCCTGAATCACCGCATGAAAAAAAAGACTTACATCATCCCCTCAACAAAAAAAACGCAACGATTTTCCCAATCTCCACCATCCGGTTTCTGGCTGCTTCGTCTTCCCCATGGCAAGAGACTTTGCCATAGTTTATATGGGGAAAAATTGGGAAAATGATCGCCAAAAAAAAGTCGCTGGGAATTACCACCCTTTTTGGGGGCTCCTGACGGCGCCAGCAGGTGCCTGACGCGCAGCCACCATTCGTTCGGCTTCCTTCTTCAATTGCAACTTGCCCAGCATGGATGGTGTGGGTCGTCCCTGGCGCAGAAACAGCATCAATGTGTGGCCACTTTGGCTGGTGAATCTCAGATGGCTGGACCAGAGAAAATCTGAATCTCTGTTTTTTTTTTTAAAGGTGAAATTCATAGATTCCCATGACAAAAAGCACATGATTTAATCGTCAGTTATATTTTCCAGTAGCCATCGGGTTGGACCCAGATCGTCTGAAAGCTGACATCCCTTGCATGTCAACTCAAAAAGGGCGAAATCCTTTGGCCATCAAGCCCATCCCCTCATACGATCATACTACACAGCCCCATTCTGTGGTCCCAAATTATGTGCTTCGGAAACCCCTAGGAAACCATGGTTTCTGGGGGTGTTTAATATTGGGAAGGGATGAATTCCGAGGTGTAAACTATGGACTGCGTTTCAAGTTTGTTATACATGATGCTGCTATTCTTGACGATCCTTGCTTAGCGAGATTCTCTGGGAAACCAACAAATCCCCACACACACAGAAAGAGTTTGTTCTTTTTACTTGCAAAATCATAAAGTCCTACAGTGCTTTTATATCTGAAGGTGTCAAAGCACTTTACTTTCTAGTACTTCAATGTACTTCATCAGCTTTGACGAAATTGGGCAGGATATGGCAGGATTGCAATGTACAATTACCCGCTGCCGGCTGGTAATCTAACACTTTGCCATGGACACCATTTATAGATGATCTCATTCAAATATCCATTTATAGGTGGATTTCCTAGCCCCTGTAGCTGTTTACCGGAGGGTGCGAGTCTGGCACATTCCTTCGTGGGACACCAAAGTTTCAGAACCAGCTCCGAAAATTGAGATCGATGGGGGATTCCCTATTGCCATGTTTGAAAGCTAGAATCATTTGCCCTTTTTTATAAGCTGACCAAACTTTCAAAACTCAATTCTCTTTGGGCACCTGAAACACATGTTTGGCACTTCCTAGATTTCAGGGCAATGGCTGTGTGCTTTGTGCATGCCTTCCCAGGCTTGCCATTCTCTTTTATTCTTTTGAATCATGATAATCTCCAATATACCCGGCCTGGTAAACATTCACAGTTTGCTATTGAAAATGGACCATTGAAATAGGTGATTTACCTATTCAAATAGTGATTTTTCCAGTTCGCTTTTTGTATGTTTACCAGGCCGTTGGACCGGTAGGATGAAAGATATCACACGATCTCCCCATCTGCGAAAAAAATCATATTGCAAACGATTTTTTTTTGAACTACCTGGAGATTCATTCTCCGAGAAAAAAGAAGGAGTTCTTGCTTTCTAGTAGTTTCAGCAGTTAAACAACGAGAACCACTTATAATTTCCAGGATTTCGAATCTCCAGGTATCATAGTAAACCCAAAAAACGATAGAAAAAAACGTAGGACCGTAGGATTACTATTATCACCATTTCATAGTATCGTTTATTGGGGCTACTATAATCCCCTAAAATAGTTAATAATATGACATAGTATATGATAGTAAATCATCAGCATTTTATCAATTTTCGTAGGATTCTACTTTTCAGCGTCTTTTTGGGGACTCGAAAACTACCCAGCCGCTTTCTCCAATCGCCTGCGACCTGGCCATGTCTTCCCAGCTTTGCAGGAGTTTCTCCACCTCTGCTTTTCATCACCCTGTTTTTTTCATGGGATTTCATAGGTAAATGAACTGGACATGTAACAAGGCCGTTAAAAAAAGGTGGATTTGTAGTAGGGATTTGTAATAGCTGTTATGGCCATGGCTTCAATAGCTATGAGACAAATTACCATTTTGGCTAAGTTGGTTTAGAGTTCACTGAGTGATCATGTACTCGCCAGCTATATTCGATTTATATTTATATCATTTATATCATATTACTATATTACCATCAAATTTCGCAATGGTATTCCTTAGTTAAATTCCCTTTTTTCTGGGTGAATATCCCATGAAATATCCCAGACATCTTCCGAAATCCACGCCGGGCTTCTGATCTCTTTGGGTTGAGCGGTAAACCCCTCTGAAGAATGATGGAGTTCGTCAGTTGGGATGGGGCCCCCCAGTTATAAGTTGGTTTATAAACCATTATAACCCCTATTAACTATAGTTATATCTACTATAAAACCACTTATAAGGCAACTTAGCTATCTTGGGGGCCCCATCTTGTTGGGATGATGAAATTCCCCAAGTGTTTCTGGAAAACTATGGAAAGTCATAAAATGTTATAAAATTCCATGGTTCCAGTCACCACCAGTTATGTAACATGATATTCCCAGCATTGCTCATCGTTTTAGCCCAAAGATATTGAAGATGTTGATACCCCCATAGGTTGGGCATAGGTTGGGAACTATACCCGTCCAGCTGGTTCTCCATTCAATAAAATCGAAGAATGATGGTTGATTACAAGTTTGTAGGTCAATAGCCAAGTTCACCCCTGCTGTTTCCCGGGAAATATAGATTCACATATATAGAGGTACCCTCTTCCTAGTTACATAAAAATGATTGATTGTTTGATGCTAAAACACATAATATTTCTACTGGCAAATATTCCATTTTACATCCATCCAATTGACGCGGAAACACACATGATATTCTATTAATATCTCATGACAATTCCACTAATATTTCATTGCAATCCTCATTGGCTGACCAGCAATATTGATTCAAATCCATCCAGGGTGATAACCTTAATATGGTTTTGTAGTTCACAACATGTCCCATAATTAAAACAATATCTCATGAATATTCCATTCCATCAAAATATACCAGTAATATTCCCACATATCCCATATTTAGGTACAAATAATCTACATTGTACCCGAGTTGGCTTACCCAGCAATAAACACTATATGATTTTAGGCTAAACTTGAATTATAACAGAATTCCTTTCATTTCTAAATGGTTCCATATCCCGAGTCCCATATATCCAAATATCCATGAATATCGAGCCACACACATGTATCACTGGTTGGTGGTATGCCTACCCCCCTGAAAAATATCAGTTCGTCAGTTGGGGTTATGACATTCCTAAGTGAATGGAAAATCCATTAAAATCAATTAAAAACCATAAAATTATATTAAACCACTATAATCCATTAATCCCAACTGAATGGAAAGTCATTCAAAATTCCATGGTTCCAGTCACTGAGTCCAGTCACCACCAACCAGATCAACCATTATTTATCAGTTACATCCCCATATCGATGGCTAAAGCCTATACATGATGCCATGAAAATCATCTTTCTAATTCTAAGTTACCCTCTGGTAAACTAACAGTTTGCTGATGAAAATGACCATAGAAATAGTTGATTTACCCATTAATTAAACATTGTGATTTTCCATAGTTTGTTGTATGTTTACCAGAGGGTATATCCCCATATGTTTGATAGTTCAACCATGCTTCGGAATATTTCTCGATTCAATCAATCTTCCGTGACCCCTATCCCAGGAATATTTCTCGATTAAATCAGCAGTTTGATCACGAATTTGCATAGGTTTCCCAAACATCTCATGATATTTGCATGAATTCTCAAAAAGACATCCGTTATATATCCCGTATCATTTCCCGTATGTGATGTATGTGATGACATAATCATTAGATTTGATATACTTTGATGTGAATATCATTGAATATACCATGAATTGTCCTATTCACATCCCATACCCTCTGGTAATTTAAGATAGCTAAAATAGCACATTTATAGTTGATTTACCTATTAAAGATGGTGATTGTCCATAGCTATGTTAGCTTACTGGAGGGTACAAATCACCGTTTTTGCTGGTCAATTCACCATTTTTGACATCAAAACCAGTTTTTCACCGAAACATGGTGATTTTCCATCGCTTTTTTGGCCGTTTTACCGGGTCAATGTCTCGCCCCAACGGCGCCCCCGAAACGGACGGCCTCCTTTTGCCTCTTCGACAGCCGACGGTACCCGTGGCCGCCACTGGCGTCGCCCTTGCTGGCGTTGCAGGTCACCTCGAAGGGTGCCAACGGAACGGCCAGGAACGCCTTGAAATGATGAAACACTGTATCTAAAGGAACAACATTTCCCATAACATATTATAACCTGAATATGGTTTTAAAAGAATTTCCAGTTTGATCTCCGGATGCTTTTTTTTGTTTGGGATGAATTTAAATTTTATGACATTTTGATGGTTGTTTGGGATGAATTTCAAAACCCAGATTTTTCAAAAGTGCCACCTTTGATTACCAAAGGTTGTAGTCACTAAATCCCAGTTGTTTTACCCAGCAATATAGATTCCTTGACTTGGATAATTGTAGCTATGGATCCACTACTCAGTAGTTGAATCCCAAATATTTGTTGGTTGTCCCAGTCATTCATCGCCACGAATAGCGGGCTTAGCTTCCCATGATGATATCCTTGAAATGGTTGATGAAAAGGACTTCCCATGGACTGTGATGTATCCAGTTCGTTCCCCTGATATGATATTGATATCTTATTCCCGTAATATTCCCATATAGCAACAGCCAAAACATGCAAACGTGTGGGAACATTTCCCAAATGATGTTGTTTCGATCATCCCATACAACAAAAAATATCCCACATGATGTAGGGATGATACTCCATTCATAGTCCGCACATGCTGGATGATGTTTCCCGCATATTTTCCCAGGTTTCCACAATGGTCTGGGTAAATGAAATAATATTTCACTAACCTGAATAGTTCCCATAAAAGGGGATGATTTCTCGAATCCTAACCATCATTTCCAGGGTTCGGGAGAACGACGTGAGGTCGTGATGAAATTTACAAACAATGGTGCCAGCCAGTGACACTGTTGTTGGCCAGTGCAGCCATTTCCCCCGTGATGTTCGCGATGAATTCCTGGCCGAGAAGGGCTCCTGGGACGTCCTTTTCGGGCAGTTTCGATTTTGTTCTTTGTGGGACATGATGGGAAAATGGTGGGAAAATGTTGGAAAAATGTTGGAACATGATGGGAAGTGGTGGAAAATGATGGGAAAATGGTGGAACATGATGGGAAAATGGTGGAACATGATTGGAAAATGGCGGAGCATGATGAAGAACCATGAGATTTCAGGGCGTATTAGTACATGGGTGTGATTGAAAATGGGTTTTTTCGGAACACGTCCAAGTATCAATTTCATTGGGGAAAATGATCATCGACAGATTTTTGGGGTGCCCTATTTTCAAACAACCCCAAACTGTTTGGGGCCCCCCAGTGATGTTTGTGGGTTTATAAACCATATCAAAAGCCCTATTAGTTAACTAGTTCGTTATATCTACCATAAATCATAGAATTCAGCCACTTATGTTCGGCAACTGAACGCTATCGACTGGGGGCCCCATCTTGTACTATCTGTTTGATATTACCAACTTGGGAGGATGATGTCCAATCCGTTGAGATCTTTGGGATGGTTCCCTATGGTTCCCTCAACCCACCAGCGCAAAAAAGGTCAAACAACCCCAAACTCTTTGGCGAAAAAAAATTACGTTGGTCCACTTGAAAGACCCATCATTTTCACTGACAGCTTTAGAGATCTCTGTGAATCGAACGGTTTTAGATGCAGGTCCTACCCGACCTGGTAAACGTTTACATAAAACGATGGGAAAACCATGGAAAACCATGTGAAAATGGTGATTTATATGGAACATCACCATTTTTCATGGGTAAATCGACTATTTCTATGACCATTTTCAATAGCTATGATTGACATAACCAGAGGATCTTTCAACCTTGATATCCATCCCATCCTGTAAGATAGCTTGGTCATGCTTGGTCTTCCATCAATTGCAGAAGTCCATATGAAGCCAGAGGGGAAAACCCGCTACAATAGACAACCATAGACAACCATAGACAACCAGCATACATCCCAATGTTTTGCTGCTTCAAAGCCATGTTCGCAAAGTAAAATCGCCATTTTTGAAGCTGAAATCAAAATGTTTGGCTCACTCGAAAAAAAAACGACATTTCATTCACCTGGGCACAGCATCGCAACTTGAAACGAGAATTTTTACGGAAGAAGAGGATGTGATAAAAATTGCTCCCCTGTGATTTCTGGAGAATACACGGACGCATCGTTTTTTTTGGGTGAGGTCGTGAAGTCGTTGCTGTCATCCTGACACTTGGAATTTTGGGGGATGTATCACTATTGGAATAACCCTCTGGTAATTGGTGACATAACTATTGAAGCCATGGCCCTAATCGAAATAGTTGGTTTACCGAACTTAAAGATGGTGGATCTGGAAAGAAGTTCGCAAACTGTAAACGTTTACCGGAGGGTAAGCACCATATTTTGTGTTGGGCTTACCCATCATAATCCTATCCAGCTCCCATTTTACATGTCACGTTATTCATAGATTCATTAAGCACTAACATTAGCCAACCATAAAAACCAATGCCGCTAATACACACTATGAATATTTCTATGGTTTTGTATGTAATAAACACACATATGCATATATAATTATATATATCTTCTATAACACATTCTCCATTACCCGTTTATCCCTTGTGAATGCATCATCCCAATGAAGCCGGTCCATTGACCTGAGCATCATGTTATACACCTATTACAGCCCAGGTCTATAATGAATTGATACCATGGTTTATTATAACATTGTCTAACTATGTTATAAACCATAAACCATGATAATTGATAGGTCTATCTATTGAATACCCATAATAATTGATATCAGGTCTATAATGCTATTGTTTCCCCCCAAAAAATCCCGTGATCCTTTCATTTTTGATCAGCACATGGGCACATCGAGAGGGCTGTCCTTCATGTGGTTCACTTCATTGGCCACACACAGAGGGCTATAGGTTGGAATGGCGCTGGCTGGCACTGACCTCGGGAGTTCGAAGATCCAGTAGCAATGTTGAAATTTAAATCACAATCTTACCAATCATGGTTGAACAATTGGTATGTAAATTGCAAATTTAAATTAACAATGGTACCACTTTTTTTAATTTTTGTAATTTTTTAAGTAACATTGACACATTGGCGAGCATAAATCAATGATAAACATGAAAGTAAACTCAACATTTTCGGGGTGTTACACCCTAATCTGTGAAAGACTACTCCGGGGGCATCATATGAAGGCGTGTCAGGTAACATACGAATCGATGGAGAAACCCCAGGAACATGATCTATGGTGGATGTTCCACTTCGCCTATATATTTTTAGGGCGGGTTGGCTCAATCATAAAGCAGAATTTAAGCAACATGTCCTATTTATTGATGGTAAATTCTGATGGTAAATAATATGGACAACTGGTTTCGGTGTGATCAAATTGCTGTTTTTGATGGTAAATTCATGTACATTCACCATTTTTGACATCAAAACCCGTTTTTTCATCCGCGTGTCCTGAACAGAACCAAGCAACTCTCCATTGTTCACCGCCTGGGAAAGACGGAAACGGACTGCCGGGGGGTACTCCCCGCTAATTCTTAAACTAGGGTCGAAGAATCCAGTGTTCACATTAAAATATATCTGATGGTTGCAAGATATAACCATGAAAAACCACAAGCCACATACACACGATATATATGTATATATATAAATATGCATGTATAAAGCTGTATATATATATAATGTGAATATATATAAATGTATATACATACATGAATATATATATATATGTTTTACAATATGTATATATCTATGTATGTATATATATATGATATATATATATGTATATATCTATGTATATATATATACAAAAATATACATATAGACGTCCGTATGTATGTATGTAATGTAATGTAATGTAATGTAATGTAATGTATGTATGTTAGTTATGTTATGTTATGTTATGTTATGTATGTATGTATGTATGCATGCATGTATGTATGTATGTATGGTATGTATTGTATGTATGGTATGTATGGTATGTATGTTATGTATGTTATGTATGTTATGTATGTTATGTATGTTATGTATGTTATGTTATGTTATGTTATGTTATGTTAGTATGTATGTATGTATGTATGTATGTTATGTATGTTATGTATGTTATGTATGTTATGTATGTTATGTATGTTATGTATGTTATGTATGTGATGTATGTGATGTATGTGATGTATGTGATGTATGTGATGTATGTGATGTATGTGATGTATGTTATGTATGTTATGTATGTATGTATGTTATGTATGTTATGTATGTTATGTATGTTATGTATGTTATGTATGTTATGTATGTTATGTATGTTATGTATGTTATGTATGTTTTGTATGTTATGTATGTATGTATGTATGCATGCATGGATGTATGTATATATGTATGTATGTATGTATGTATGGTATGTATTGTATGTATGGTATGTATGTTATGTATGTTATGTATGTTATGTATGTTATGTATGTATGGATGTATGGATGTATGGATGTATGGATGTATGTATGTAATGTATGTATGTTATGTATATATGGATGTATGTATGGATGTATGATGTATGTATGTTATGTATGTTATGTATGTATGTATGTATGTGTGTATGTATGTATGTATGTATGTATGTATGTATGGTATGTATTGTATGTATGGTATGTATGTTATGTATGTTATGTATGTTATGTATGTTATGTATGTTATGTATGTATGTATGGTATGTATTGTATGTATGGTATGTATGTTATGTATGTTATGTATGTTATGTATGTTATGTATGTATGTATGTATGTATGTATGTATGTATGTATGGTATGTATGGTATGTATGGTATGTATGTATGTATGTATGTATGTTATGTATGTTATGTATGTTATGTATGTGTGTATGTTATGTATGTTATGGATGTTATGTATGTTATGTATGTATGTATGTATGTATGTATGGTATGTATGGTATGTATGGTATGTATGTTATGTATGTTATGTATGTTATGTATGTTATGTATGTATGGATGTATGGATGTATGGATGCATGGATGCATGGATGCATGGATGCATGGATGTATGGATGTATGGATGTATGGATGTATGTATGTATGTATGTATGTATGTTATGTATGTTATGTATGTTATGTATGTTATGTATGTTATGTATGTTATGTATGTTATGTATGTTATGTATGTTATGTTTGTTATGTGTGTATGTATGGATGTATGGATGTATGGATGTATGGATGTATGTATGTATGCATTAATGTTGCAATGTTGCAATGTAATGTAATGTACGTACGTACGAGATATCATGTATGTCATGTATGTCATGTATTTCACGTATGTCATGTATGTCATGTATGTAATGTAATGTAATGTAATGTTATGAGTGTATGCATATATACACGCATGAATTCCTCCATTCCTTAAGAAAGGAAGCCTCCAACACTTCGTGGTCCTGGAAGATTTAATTTCTGTACCCATTATCCACCGTATTGGCCATAGGATGCCACAGGGTATGAGGTCCTGTCATCCATGAAACTCATGGCAATCTCTGTGGATGATCGGCCCCACAACAAGGACATAGAATCAAGGAATTCATCATCCCCTATCAACAAAAACATGACATAGGCTTCTTCAAGGCCTGATGTTTTGGGTAAACTCTGGGGGTATCCTTTAATTTCTATATGAAAAAATTCTATGATCTATGTACTATCCTGCTGTTGATGTCCTGGAGTTGGGGTCGAATCTAAAGGAAAAATCAAGGACCAACATTCGATGCCCCTTGAAGAGCAATGTTCAACTGGTTGGTGGTGCAATAACCATCTTGAACAATGATGGAGTTCGTCAATGGGAAAGATGACATCCCATATATTATGGAAAAACACGTTTGAAACCATCAACTATCAACCATCAATCTTCAAGTCTGACACTGGTTGGTGGTATACCTACCACTCTTAAAAATATGAGTCAATGGGAGTATGATTCCCAATATATGGAAACAAAAATGTTTGAAACCACCAACCAGGACAGGTATCTAAAGCTTCTCTGCGAAAAACTTCTCTGGTTGTACAGGATTTTTATGGATTTCTCCCCACCTATGGCTAAAAGGTTGGCGCCTACAGAAACCTGCCCCTAGCAACTTCTGTCTCCTACACTTACATCGCTAAGCCATCAAAAGCTCTGCCTTTAAAAGGGTATGAACTTCTGGAGGCTCCAGTTACCCCAGTTTAGTTGTTTCTGTTTGCGTGTTTTTCTTCTATAAATGAGTTTTGTTCCAACCCATCCAAACATATCCCTTAAAGATCTTGAAAAAATGCTGGAAAGCCCCGACATTTAGAGACTTCCCAGCACATTCGTGAAATATGCACGAGTCGATCCTGGGGGCCAATCCTCCAAACTTTCACAAGTAGGATATGAAAAAGGTAAGGGACCCACATGTTTGGTCAGTTTCAGTTTAAAACGATTCAACTTTCTGGGTCTTAAAATCTGCAACTCCATATATGGAAGTTTCCTAAAATGGAGTACCCCCAAATCATCCATTTTTGATTGGGATTTTCCACTATAAACCATCCAGCTATTAGGGACTCCCTTTTGGAAACGTCCATATATATCGACCGAACGAGAGCTTCAATTCCCTTCACCTGTCGCCGTTCTCCTTTGGCGCCCTGTGAAAGCGTTCAAGAAACGGTGCCCTGGGTGTCAAAGTAGACGTTGATGTTGATCTGGCAATTGCTGGCGAGCCTCCAAGAGAGAGAGAGAGAGAGAGAGAGTTGGCTGTAAACTTACCCGGCCCGGCCTGGTAAGACAAAAAAAAACGATGGGAAAACCATGGGAAAATGGTGATTTATATGGAAAATCACCTAATTTTTCGTGGGAAAACTCACTATTTCTATGGCCATGGTTTCAATAGCTATGTAACAAATTACCAGAGGGTACCAATGATCACCAATGATCCGTAACTTTCATCTTGGAAACATGGCTGATTCACCTTAGATACTCAACAATCTTAACACAAGAAATAACAAACAACTCATGAACCTCCCACTCATCTCATCTACGGCGTATCCATACCCAATGTATACATATCGTATATATAATAAATAAGTCTATGTTTTCACCTATATATGTATATATACTTGGTGGCTCATCCCACGAATCGTAAGTGGGTTATAACCCTAGTTTTTTGAGTGGATTAACTCTACTTATCCCATGTAAATCACTGGGGTGAACTAACCCACTTACTAAGTGGGGTGAGCCACCAAGTATGTTCACTTATTGGAAGGTATCATCAGTGGGTTACACCCAACATCTTTGGAAGAACCCACATATTACCCTCTGGTAAACTAACGTACCTATGGAAAATCACCATGTTTAATGGGCAATTTAATATTATATATATATACCCTCTGGCTATTTAACATAGCCATGGAAAATCACCATTTTTAATAGGTAAACCATCTATAAATGGGCCATCTATACCATGGCTATGTTAAATAACCACTTCTCGATGGTTATTATCCAAGATGCTCTGCCAAGGAAGGCCCCACACTCAGATCCTGCACAAGTCTCGCGTCAGCCGGGACGACACCCCACACCGCCGTAGCGGCAAAGAGCCCCAAAAAACGATGGGAAAACCATGGGAAAATGGTGATTTATATGGAAAATCACTATTTTTAATCGGGAAATCAACTGTTTCGACTGGGCCATGGCTTCAATAGCAAACTGTAACAAGTTACCAGAGGGTAAATATCATAAATGGAACATGAACAACACTCAAAACCACAGTGATCAGACCTGAGTTGATCTGAAAATAGGCTACCACAAAAAATGCCATGTGTTCTTGTTACGTTCGTCATTCAATTGCCTTTTTTGGGGTATGTCCGATGAAAAGTTATCACTCAGCAGCCGAGTGCAGTGCATGTGTTCACGTGCACATCGTAGAACTGTGATTGGGTCACTTATCTTCGGTTGATAGGTCAGGGATAAATGGATCAATGTTACAGTTCGTGGCACTGGATTCGTTTGACCTTTTTTGCGTTGGATATCGTTGGTGGGTATCCACATTGTATCACCACGTTTGCTACGAATACAAAATATCGTTTTTGATGGTAAGTCAACCAATTCGTGGCCGAAGTCCATATCATATTGTTTGCTCTAATGACTATTATATTCCATCAAGCACATCCCCCAAAAGGGTATAACTATACCCCCACATTCTTGGTGGCTTCCCCCTTCGGTTGGACAAACCCAAAATACTAATAGCTAGACTTTGGATAGATATATATATATATATACCTTATTATCCTTTGTATTCCTATGAAGTCCCCATATTTTGTTGGTTAAACCCATGTGGTACACCGAATTTCATAAACCATCCCGCATTGAGTTTTATTCTTGGGTTCAGTAATAGGCCTATTTGCGATGACATCGAATTACCTCCCCCATGGTTGATTTTCTTGAGATGAATTATGACAGTTTACCATCGTTTACCATCTATAAATAATAACTACAGAAATTTACCATATTACTACTGTCATTGACCATAGAAACTATCTATAATAATGGCTTGAGATGACAACTTTGGATGGTGTGGAAGAAAATGGATGAGCTCCAAAAAAAATTAACCACAGCATTGGATGGTTTATGATCTCTGATGGATTAAACCATCTACGATTGTGGCTTAATCAATAGACCATCACTGGTTGGTGGTTTCAACCTACCCCTCTGAAAAATATGAGTTCGTCAGTTGGGATGATTGTTCCCAACTGAATGGACAAATAACAACTATTCCAAACCACCAACCAGATCATAATTGGAGTTCAGCCATTCGTTCTTGGCTGCCACGGTACATGACTCGCCCAGCATTTTAAGCCTCACCATGACAAGGGCGTCTCAAAACGGCGAGAAAGTCACAAAGTGGTCCTGACCCGACTTGGAAATACGGGACATGAACAGGATCCTGAGACGGTGCTGTTAGGGTCTGGTTTTGTTCAGTGGAAAGTATCTGAACATGTGGGAAAAACAATAGGACAATTATATAACAATGGGGGGAATATCTGAAGATACTGGAAAATCATTGGCAAAATAGTGCGGAATTTTTGGGATTCATTTGGATTATATTTGGTGAACAGTTTGAAGGGGGACATGATAATCCTTCAAGGGATCATCATTTTTCATGGTAAAGGACGCAGTAATTACTTTGATTTGCTTAACGACTCAGCACATCTAAGAGTATCCTGTTTCGGAGTATGTTAAGGAACTGTGCCTATACGGAACTTTCGAACATCGTTCTGGGAACATCAATGGTACATCTTGGATTGTTCCTGTTCTGGTTGGTGGTTGAGCCCTACCCCTCTGAAAAATACGAGTTCGTCAGTTGGGATTATTGTTCCCAATATATGGAAAAATAAAAAATGATCCAAACCACCAACCAGCCATTAATATTCCATTACCAGAGGGTTAATCACCATTAAATCACCATGAATATCCCGAAAAAAAATCACCAACCACCAACCAGTGTTGGTTATCCTAGCAAATCTACCAATGGGAACATCATCTCTTTAAGGAATTTTCCATAACAGAGTAGCTCCGGGGTGTCTGAAGGATTGGACTACGCTTATCCCATGTAGAAGTGACTGGCTGAGTGGCCATCTTTAGCTGCCTAAATACTGTGGATGGTTTCGAAATCCGATAAACCACCAATTTTGGATGGTTGAAACATGTTGAAAGCCTATTAAAAATGGGATGTTTACCTCCGTTTTCAACTGGTGCAGGAATTCGCAGCCATCCACAGTATCAATGGCCATGTCAGGAACCTATACTGGAGGTACCTACCATATACAAGGCATATGTAATGGCTATGCAAGGGAATATCCCCGCAAAGTATGGCCTTATATGACCATTGTAGGATCTTGAAAATCCCAGTTGCTGGTGGGCATCGGCCCATCTCCAACTATTTATCGACAAACGTCATGTCTTTTGGCTTCCCCAGCACCCGAAACGGCAAAGACTAACAGTTTCGAACTTGAAGCCATGGCCTCGTCGAAATAGTTGATGTACCCATAAAAAAGGTGGTGGTTTTCTATCGTTTTTTGGGACTGTTTACCATTTAGGGTAATCATTGTGGTGAGGTCGGACATTACCCTCTGGTAAACTAACATAGCTATTGAAAATTGCCATAGAAATAGTGGATTTACCCATTAAAAATGGTGATTTTCCATAGTTATGTAAACGTTTACCAGAGAATCCCCTTAATACTGATTGGATGAGATGTCAAGACTTCCTTGCACCTGATGGGACCTGGGATCGCTGGGATCCTATAAAATCCTGCCACAGAATTCACCTAAATGTAAGAAGATATTCCAAGCTATTCTTTGGTAAACGTTTACATAACTATGGAAAGATCCACCATTTTATAGCTGGGTAAATCCACTATTTCTATGGCAATTTTCAATAGCTTTGTGTTAGTTTACCAGAGGGTAATCAAACATGGTTTGCCGGAAAATCCGTCATTTATAGATCACCGAGCAAAATTCACCTCAATTTTTCGGAGGTTTTCGCAGCTTGCCATGTTTGACTAGCGGAGGGATGCGGAGGGTATTGGCGATTTGCCATACGGACACCAATGATTTCTTGGGTTCTTATTCTAGGAACGCTTCATCACCTGAGTTGTCTGAAAATTCGATACCTCATTCCATGACATGGCTTATCATCACGTACCTATGAAAATGTGGGGGGTATACCAACCATATTCAGACATACCCAAATATGAATCATATGGCATGTTGCTTATCAAATTATATCCCCACCAAAAACCTGGTTTTATATCATCATTTTTACATATTTTTCCCATCTTGAATCATCTGGAAAATCCCTCCATCTCTCCATCTGTGACAAAACCTGGAACTAGCACAATCTGCGGATGCTGCGGATTCCAGCCATTGCCGGACGTTCCTACGAACTGCACTTAAATTTTCCCACCATATATAAGGCCTATATAAGGCCTAAATTTCAGGGAATATCCCAGCAAAATATGGCCTGACATATGGTACAATAGCTCCATGTATTGGATCCTGAAGATCTCCCATTGAAAGACCGAGTCCGAGCATCTTCACGGAGTTCTCCTTCAACTGCCAGCTTTTCGTGATGTTCGAGATCCTAAATGTGGTGAGTCAGGAGACATCAGATGGAGACATCGATACGTGTGAGAAACGAAAATCAACAATATAACAAGAACAATGTAATCATATGCTTCACTGGTAGTCTTTTTGGGAATTGCTACAACTTATGTGTAGATGATGATAGGTATATCTCATACGCTATGGACAGCAGGTGAAAAAACATGATGTGACCAACTTTGCTAGTCATCAGCGTCGCACCGTTGCCTGGGAAATCACCAATGGAGGTTCCAGCTAGTGAAACGATACTTACTGGTGCGTTTTACGTAGGGTTGCTGGATGGGTTGCTGGGGGTTGCTGGGATGATGACATTACTGGTGATTCTGGATCATTCCCGAAAATGTCCTGCGTAACATATGGTGGATTTTCCAGCAAACCATGTTTCTTTTTTCGACGGCGACATTCGACAAGGGCTACCCGAATGTTCACCACGAGTTCTCCGCTATCAGGTGGTGGGATAACCGGTGACCTTTGTGCTATGAAATTAAGCAACACATATTATGAACTAATGTGGTTAAAACGATAGTACAACACCACATTTCAAATGGTTTATACCAACCATTTATGGTGATTTTGGGGATGGTTTATTATTGTCTGAATCACATTATATGGACATATGATGCGTCCGTTTTGAATATCATGGGATATTTCACACACCTACTATGATCAATGGTTTATGATAGTCTATGATGGTATATGTTTTTTTCATTCCATGCCATTTGCATTCTTTTCATGGATATATAAACTACCATGAATTTATGAACTGATGACCATGCCACAATGTCAATGGTCATAGGTCCGACTCTTGGCCAGAGTCCGATTGGCCCATCAATGGATTGAAAATAAACCCGATGAAAGAAGTCTGCATTCTATGCTATTAATGATATTAATAATGAACCCAACTTAATGATCATGGGTTATTCATGATTGTGGGTTTTGAATGATAAACCTGTCAACTACACTGAACCAAAAAGGACTAGTAAGGACTAGTTGCCTGGCCAAAGTTCAAAGCAAACTCAACTGGTTGACTTATCCTATTAACCTCTCGCGGTCAATTTTACAACTCTATATGGTTTGCAACTTTTTGCCATTACGAAACTGGGATGTCCCTTTACCAAAGATACGTCTCGATGGGAGATCATCTGCTTGCATTCATGGGAATTAAGGCCAGCAACTCAGGAATCAATATAATCAATGGCTACAAACCACCAACCTACCAATCAATCTACTTCACCCAGTGTGAAAAGTGGTGATACAGTCGTCCGGCCAACATGCCAGAGAGCCCCCCCTGCAGTCGCAGGCGGGTACTGTCATGCCCTTTGGCGGGCGTGGGCCGTGGAGCCGCGGCCCCCCTTCCGCATGCGCGTGGGGCTGTCTGTTCAACTGGTGCCTCTGTTGCACTGTGGTTGAACTGCCTGTTTGAGCGCCGGATTTTCTGCCCAAGGCAGATGGTCAACAGGAGAGAGACCTGGAGCGAAGACATTCCCAGCAGCTGTGCGTCCCATTTACAGTAATAGACAGATTATCATGGTCATGAAATGTTACTATTTGATACTATTTGATATTATTTGACTATACATAGAGCATATTCCAGCTAGAAATTACATAGATGCTATTTGAAATTGTTGGGGCACCCCTTTTCACCATTCGCTTACCGATTGAACACAATTTGGATGATATAGGGCGGGGTCCGCAATAATTTAGGACCCCCCCATATGTCTGATCAGATATCGCATTGACTGGCTGCAATTTTAACGAGGTCCGAACGATGTGCGAGCGAGGTCCGAACGAGGTCCGAAATCAAATTTTGGGAGACTGACCTCCTAAGTCTCCTGACAAACTCTTTGGTAGCCACACGCTTTCGCATTCTTTTCAGAACAGTAAAACTCAAGAGCTTTCAGCGGTGGAGCAGAAGAGCTGCAGGCAAGAGCAAGGAGACAGAAGAGGAGACAAAGGGCGAGTAAGGGAGACAGAGGGGAGACTGGCTGCACGGCACAGCAGGATGGGAGAGAATCTCCCACACAATGAAGGACCCGGGCAAATGCCTATATTTCAAACACCTATATAGTGGGTAAAGCCACAGAAATATGCCAGGTGAACATAGTGGATGCATCCCATGAACCAGGTGTGCCTATGCAAATTGCCAAACAAATGCATCAATAAGTTAAAATCCTAAGATGCCCTAGGTGATGCCCATGTGGGCCTTTCCACAAGGCACACCGCCATCTTTGTAAACGGCACATTTTACAACCTGGACCCAGTACATATTCATTATTTATGTACATATATACACACATATGTACAATGTGGGGCCCCCTAGATAGCTAAGTTGGTTTATGACTTCAACAACTATGGTTTATGATGCCTATAACTATAGTTACTTTTTTTTTGAACCAACTTATTACTGAGGGGGCCCACGCTGTATATATACACATTATATACCGTCAATTTACAGGTCCCAAGGCTCCTTGGTTCCTTAGTTTTCAAGTCCGCATGGGATAAGCCCCAGTGAAAAATGGCTGGTTAATCATCATCCCGACAAGGTGGTGTTCACCATAAGTTTGCTTATAAACCCATCTAGCTAAAGAATGCTAAAGATATATCTACCATAAACCCTAGTTGACCTGCTTTATTCAGGCAACTTCGCTAAGTGAGGTGCACTTTGTATTTATACTTGTGGAAATTTGGGGCAAGAAAAACCCATCATATCACCATTTTTCCTAGATAAATAAGTTCACTCCTTGAAAAAATGATGCTCAAATCCCCCATTTTTCTTGGTCAAATTTCACCTTTTCTTTGGCGAATCCCCAACATTTCAGGCACGTTAAACGTCACGTGATCCGAATCAGCAAGGGACGAGTCCACGCCGTCCGCAAAGGAGAACCGGAGAAGTTGATACAGCGAGTCCTGGTCAGTCCATCGAGGAATTTCACAAAAACGAGACTTCACATGACAAAAAACCAAGAAAAATATGGGGGATTGATTGGACTACCCGACTACTGATTCTACTTTTTGGAAGCTATAAATTTTGGACTTAACTATCGAATGAACCATATGGATCATATGGTGTCCAACAAAATGATTCTAGGGGCACCCCATTTTGGACTAAGCCATATGATTCATTGATATTCATTGGGAGTCCGTTCCTCAGAATCTTATGGCAAGGTGGAGTTTGTCAAAGCACTTTCGATGCGGTTTATAAGTTGATGAACTACACATTTCTGGTTAGATAAAAGCAGATATAACATGGTATAAACTATGGTTTAACTAAGGTTTATGTAGGTGGTGCCCCCAGTTCGTTAGCTAAGTTGCCTTATGGTTTAACTATGGTTTATGGTAGATATAACTATAGTATTCATTGGCTTTATAAACCCAACTTAAAACTGGGGGCCCACATTGTATGACATTTTTATACACGTCTTATTATATACACATACTTTTTATAGCCAGTGAAAAATCACACATGGCTGGATGGAAAACAGTGCAACTGCGAGAAAACATCCATAAATGGATGTACATGAGATATCGTCCATTGACGCAGAACATCAAAGGCATGCCACATCCACAAAGAAAGATATAAACATGATTGTACAAATCAAATGGTTGTGAAACGTGGAACAACACATCCTCATAATTGGAACATTTACATTATCATATCATAGTTGGTCATTGTAGGTATCACTATATAATTATGAAAATATCATATCACTATATCATGGTGGTTGTGCCTCTTCAAATATAGTTGGTCATATTACCACAATACCACGGTCTTCACGGGGATAAATCGCCGTTCTGTGGAGATTGCTCACCACGTGCAACACTTCCCTATTGGTAATTACAGAACTTTCCTCTTAAAACAAATGTGGACTTCCTCATCAATTATGGCGTCGCGAGAAGCTTTCATGTAGTTGAAGATACGTTGGTACCTGGCCCTTTCTAGTCTTTCTGTTGGTCAGTTGCGCCACGTGTCTCGATTATACCAAACGGCATTAAGTACAAGCAGGATCACTCTCATGCGCATGGTGACAAAAGTAATGCTCCAGATTCTTTGAAGGGAAACCTTGATGTGGCATTTGTTCATCACAAGTGACGCTCCACAACTCTTTCCTGGTTGGTGGTTGAGCCCTACCCCCCCGAAAAATATGAGTCAGTTGGGATGAGGAAATTCCCAACTGAATGGAACGTCATAAAAGTCATGTTCCAAACCATCAACCAGTCTTTCTGTATACTCTAAATTTGGTCGACTCAAAAGCTGAAACCCTTTCGGCTCCGAAAAGGGGTTAGTTCATAATCCCGACCCTGGATGACCCAGGTAGTACCCTATGGTAAACTAATAGTTTGCTATTGAAAATGGACCATAGAAATAGGTGATTTACCTATTCAAATAGTGATTTCCCATAGCTATGTTTGTTTACCAGAGGGTTTTTTATGCCCTATTTTCAACATCACCAATCAAGCAGATTCAAGCAGGTATTTTTTGAAACAACCTGATAATCAGCAACTCTTTGATATTCTGCCAACAAACATGATTTCTCGGCTGGGTACCAGTCGTATATATCTACCCCGAATGTGAAGGTTGATCCACCTAGATCTGGTATGAATTCACCACGACATCGCAGGCAGGCAACGCCACGATAGAGCAATGCTTGGACATACCCGACAGGACGCAGGATTTCTTGGTTTTATAGATTTTGATACATGCGAAAAAAAGCTGCTGATAGCTTCATTGTTCTTCGTGGTTGCAATCGCAGAGCATGGATTTTCAGTCGCTGAAACAAGGGATCCTGATAGTTGGGTTGCTTTTTTTGTATCATTCTTCAGCTACCCCCTGGTTATGACTAACAGTTCGCCATAGTATAGATGGCCCATAGAAATAGATGGCTTACCTATTAATAGCATGGTGGATCTTTCCATGGCTATGTTAAATAACCAGATGGTAGTATTGATATGGGGTATATTCAACATCTATATATAGTGATATATGGGATTTAAACAATATTTCCTCTAAACCTACAATGTGGCCCCCCCAGTTATAAGTGGGTTTATAAACCCCAGTAACTAGTTATAAGTACGATAAACCATAGTTATTGGAGTTATAAACCAACTTAGCTATCTAGGGGGCCTCACATTGTAGTATTAATAAAACTACTTCTTGGATTTTCTCCGGGAAAACCGGTAACCGCATCTCAGCTGTCGCATCGTCGCATCGTCGCATCCGCATCCCAGTCTACTGGTTGGTAGGATTTGCTGATCCCCCAACTAATGGATTTCCCATTTTGAAAGTAACAAATCAAATTGAACAAAGCAATGTAAACGGTGATAATCTACAAAAACTGCTTGGTGGTATACCTACCCCTCTGAAAAATATGAGTCAGTTGGGATTACTATTCCCAATTGAATGGAAAATCATCAAGTTCCATGGTTCCAAGCCACCAGAAAACGGTACCTCCCCCCCAGTGAAACAGCAGCCCAAGAGTTCTCGGTGCTGCCGCCAATCCGGCCCACCAGCCCGCCTTCTCCAAAGGAGGTGTCATCATGGAGCTTGAAACGTCCTCATTTTGGACGGGACGTACACGCCGTACACGCCGTAGACTCTGGGTGAAATTGACATAAATTGACATAACCGGTGATTTTTCTGAGAAATTATGAAGATATACCTGGGTAGTGGAATATTCGCGGAATATTCATGGGACCAAAGTTTGCCATACGAACGGACAAATCCAACATACGTGGTCCATTTCACTGGGAAAGTAGAGGTTTTTCATATCTATGATAGTTTGCTGGAGAGTAAGGGTATTTAAAACACACTCCCCTGAAGAATTTTGCAAAAGTGGAGCTTTTCTTGAAACATGAGCATGTTTGCTGGAGAATAGGGGTATCCTCAATTCCGTCGGTTTCTCATCATTTTCCCTTTCTAAACATTTCAATCTTTGGGTATACCATGATATACACATCCCGGCTTGAATTTCTACTATGGGGTCGAGAACCCATTTTGTACCAAAGCATCAAAATTCCTAACCTCAGCCATTATAAAATGATGGTTCTCAACCCCCAGAGGATTACGGAAAATGACAACATGATACTGCTACAAAATGAAGATTGGTTTTTATCATGAGGTTACTTGAAGGGGAAATTCCACCACTACAAAATGACGATTGGTTTTTATCATCAAGTTACTTGAAGGGGACACTCCGCCACTACAAAATGAAGATTGGTTTTTATATGCTTTTATCATCAGGTTACTTGAAGGGAAAACTTCAATACTACAATCTACAAAATGACGATTGGAAATGATTGGAAAGTATGAGATTGGGTTTTCACATGTTGCCTTCCGAAGGGCAACTTACCCTGCTACAAAATGAGATTGGGTTTTTACATGTTGTCTTCCGATGGGCAAATTCCCTTGCTACAAAATGACTTTCGATTTTTAAAGGTCTTTCAACTACCGAAACGTTGAAAACGCATAAAATGCAATTCCCAAGCTCTGGGTACAAAATGCCTGGCCCATCCCCATTTGTTCATCTTAATTTAAGCCTGGAAAGGCCTTGAAACGGGGCACAAGGCCTCCCATTCTGTAGTTGAAATTCGAACGGGGATATATACACCATTTTCAGACACCAATGTTTTTTCGCCTTTGTGTGGCCACTTGAGAATAGGTAATGCTTTGCAACAGGCCCGTATGGCCAATTTCGGCAAATCATCGCATCAAATCTGCGGGTCCCTTTGACGATCCAAAGCCGTCCATTCCAAGAGACGATTTTGACGCATTCTGACTCCACAAAAAAATGAGAGATAGTGCGGATATCGCAAGCCATATACATAAATGAAAATGCAGCAAACTATAATTTCAAGATAGACGTAACCTGAATTTCAAGAAAGATTTGGACACCCAATCTGTATTGTTGCTGTTTACAGCTAGCTGGTTCCGCATAAACCCACATCAACCCAGAAACCCCAAGGTTTTGGCAAATACATTCTGACCTGTCCCTACACCTTGTTTTAGAGAGATCAACATATATCGGTCAATAGAAAACTGACTGTTACAAAGGTTCACCCTATGTATACTTGGCAATGACCAAAAATGACACTTTGATACCCTGCCCACTTTTAGCTGCTCAATCCATTTTCCTATTTATACAGGTCCCAGAAAAGAGGATGAAAAATGCTTCCAGGATGTTATAGATGATTTTTCCTCGTATTTTTCAGGTTATCAACTTTTCTCTCTATCGCGGGGTTGCTGTAGGGCGCACAAAAACACGGAAGTTACACAAACAATCTGCAACCCAATACGCCAACCCAAGGAACTACAGCATGCACGGCGATTCAACAACTCCCCAAAAGCGATTTTCCAACCTGGTTGGTGGTTTCAACCCCTCTGAAAAATATTAGTCAAATGGGATTATTGTTCCCAATGTATGGAAAAATAAAATTCATGTTCCAAACCACCAACCAGTCTTCCAACAATAGATGGCCAATGAGCCCTTTAAAAAAAAACCGTAGTTTTAGGCTGCGTTGGGTGGCTCACCGACCTGGTGAAGAAAAAATCTCTGGGCTTCGCATGGCAGGAGACACTACTTGGAGCAAAGGGCGGCAAGCCAGTGCAAGTGTACCTCAGGGCCGGGGGATCTGGTGGATACAGCCGCTGGTTTCCACTTCACTTCACCAGTTGCAGCCCTCCAAGTTGACTAACAAAACTTTTTCAAAATCACCACATTGAATAGGGAAATCATCTACTTCCATGGGCATATCAGACATATATTAACAGATCCATGGCCATGCAACAGGATCCGATTGAGGACGGAGGTACCGATTCCATATATGTTTGGCCTATTGTTCAGGCCTAAATTTCAGGGAATATCACCAGAAGATATGGCCAAACATATGGCACGTTTACGTACCTCCATATTAGGATCCTGAATTTCCCATTGACTTGCTGGTTTCCACTGAACGAGCGGGTTGTACAGCTGGTTCTTGAAATGGGTCTGGGCTCCCACATACCACCAGGTAGCTACTAACCGATCCATGAAAAATCCAGGGGTCGCTTGATGATGGGCTGTGGTGACAGCCGATTTCTGACATGTTGCGTGACTTGACACCCTTTCGGCCTTGACATCTACCTTATTACCTTTACATCCACTAAAAATGCGGCACGAAATCACGGTCCGATCTTCGTTTGTTCAAAATTTTGGACACCAGACATATCCAGGTCAAATCCTGTGGAATGCTGGAAGCCTGTTTTGCTAAGTCCTTGTCATGAGTTTGTCATCAAATCTTGTTTCATTTTCTTTGATTCTGCTCCCAGATTTCGCCTCTCGTTTCACATCTTCGGATTGTTCTTTACAAGCTATGATTAATTCTTCCCGCACTGGAGAGAAAGCACTGCGGGATGACGAAAAATCTTCCCAGCCAGTACTTAGGTTTAACCACCAAGTTGGAACAACCCAAATCCACTGGCTACTTGTCATATTCCCAATTCATTGGCAATCAACTCGGGTTGAACACAACCAATTCATTACCATGTGGTATTCCCAATATAGGAAGGAAAAGTCCCTGCCTATTACAATACCATAAGGTAAATACTATAGGGTAAATACCTTCGTATAATAACGATTTTCCTACAATGTGGGCCCCGCCAGATATAAGTTGGTTTATAAACCTGATTAACTATAGTTATATCTACCATAAACCATAGTTAAACCACATATGAGGCAACTTAGCTATCTTGCGGGCCCCATCCTGTATGGTATTGTAATATTGCGTATAGATGGTTTTCCTGACTTTCCTTATTCTGCAGCCAGCGTTTTCGTTGCTTACCGGAGGAAACGGTTTCGAATTTCACATGGTAAAAAACATTCTTTTATCGGCTAAATCATGCTAAATCTCATATTTTTCGTTGCACCATTTGACCCAAAAAAACTGCGGATTCAATCCTTCAATCCCCAGTGACACAAGCTTCATCATACCACCATTCATGGTAAATATGTGTATATATATATATCAATGTTTCCAGGATAGGACAAGGGCTAACACCACCTGGAACTTTTGGTGGAGATATCTGACCAACTTATAGCTGCTAGTCTGACGATGATTCATAGCTGTTGTAGCTCGAATGTAAAAGAGGGGCTCGTAAAGAAACAAACAACCCTCTTGTAATTTGACATAGCAAAAATCATCATGTACATCATGGTATATCATGGTAAATCATGGTATATCATGGTAAATCAGGGTAAATCATGGTAAATCAGCCAAAAATCCTAAGTTTTCATGGCGTCCCTCTGGTAATCCAACATGACAATGATAAAACCACCTTACAAAATAGAGGCTTTTCGCTGGGAAAATCATCGAACTAAATGGGTTTCCAGCAAGCCATGTTTGATTACCAGAAGCTAACAAAATTATCAAAGGGTGACAACTTACCATAGTTATCACTATTATAAACAGTTATCTCCAATTATATATATATATTATACATATATGCAGCTATGGTTGTTGGTTTAGTTGCACCCCGCTAAGAATAGTTGCATCATTTATAAACCCCCATTAATATTAAATTATAGTTATATAGATAACCCTGGTGGTTTGTATCCTTTTTTCTTGAGATATCTGCTGCGAAGCGGAACAAAAAATCAAGTGTTTACATCTTTATATATATATACAGCTACATATGGTTATATATATATATAGAGTTACATATAGTGACATATAGTTACATATAGTATCATATAGTTATATCATTAAAATTTAAACTTACATCCACATACATCCACCATAAACGCTAGTTAAATCCTAGTTCACCGAGCCCCCTTTCTTTTTGCCATTTCGTCCCAGTGACGAAGGCAGCTTCAACATCCAAGGCTGTACGGACCAGGCCTCTCGGCTGCTCACGAACCTGGGAAAGTGATGGGAAAGTAACCATTTAGAAATACCCGGCCTGGTAAACTAACAAAAAACTATGGAAAATCACCATTTTATAGCTGGGTAAATCCACTATTTCGACTGGGCCATTTTCAATAGTTATGTTAGTTTACCAGAGGAAAATCCCTCATAAATGGAGGCTTGTAGCTGGGAAAATCATCTATAAATTGGCCATTTTCCATGGCGATGTTAAATAACCAGAGGGTAATATTTTCATACAATTACATGTGATTTCATAATTTTCATTCATATGATTGCCAGAAGTGTTTTTTTTAATGGAAAGAACTCAGCATCAATTATGGTGTTTCAAGCTCCAAAAAGTCTGGAAATCAGGGATAAGATTGTTTAATGCCATTTTTTGCAATTTTCATGTGTATTAGGATGACCGGCTAAGAAAAATTGCGGTACCTATTTTCAAAGAAACTCACTTGGATCAGCCCAAGAAGATATGTCGCTTCATTGGGGCTATCCCATCTATAGCTTGAGTTTGAACTCCAGATCTCCAACTTCTGTCTGTCTCAGAAATGTGGGGTGAGAGAACCCCTCCAATGTGTTTTTTCCCCAATTGAAAGACCTTTTGGTATTCCACATTTTGAGACAACATCGATGGCCGATTCGTCGTCCGATTTTTCCCACCATTTTCAAGGCACCAAGCCAAAGAACATAAAGAAAAACATGCAGCCGAGGCTGAAGATCTCCCCCATTATGAAGTAAAATCAAAGACACTCAAAATTAGTAGCCGTAGCATCTCCAAACAAGCTGTGGTTATCCTTTCCTTTCTGGCATGTTTTGGATATCGAATTAGGATGAATTAGGTAGGTACCCTCCAGTCAAACGCCACCAGGTTTTTGATCCGGGGGGAAACTCACTTCCTCTATGGCCCCGGTTATACAGGTTACGTGGCCGGATTTTCCATTTCTTGGATTGTGATCATCCACAAGACATTAGATGGTATGGCCCCCTATATTCATCAATCAACCATGACTTATCCGTTATATCCCCATATGTTTCATGATCAATACATCTTAAAACTGTTGAACCATTTAAAACCAATGCCACAAACCATCCCCCAGTCATGACCATTTCTATAGGTGGTATGGTTACCATTCCCAGTCATGGGTGGTAAAAATGGCATTGTTTTACCCACACTAAATACCCGTTGGTAATCTGTTTCATAGCTATTGAACATGGCCCAGTCGAAATAATTGATTTACCCATGAAACAATGTGATTTTCCATATAAATCACGATTTTCCCATGGTTTTCCGATGGTTTTCCCATCGTTTTTTGCTATGGTTTTCATCAACCAACAGGGTTGTCGCCCCTGCGCTTTCGCTTTCGGGGAACTGCATGCACCCGTCATCAGCCGCCTTGCAACCTGGTGTCTGAGAGAGATCCGTCATCCATCAATGGCAAAACATTATTATTTGGTTGGTGGTATACCTACACCTCTGAAAAATATGAGTGAAAATCAGTTGGGGTTATGAAATTCCCAACTGAATGGAAAATCCTAAAATTCCATGGTTCCAAACCACCAACCTGAATATTATGAATATTCGCCAAACCAGCGAGGATTCGACATAATATAAGTTGGTCAATTAAGGTAAAACAAGGTTTTCATTTATGGTTATCCGAATCTTCGCTGGCCAGTTTGGTAAAAATTGAATAAGTACCGATGCATCACCAGCCTGTTTTGGTTTGTTTTGGTTGCTTAGATTCCATATGACTCCGTACAAGGTCAGGACCCCCAGTTATGTTTGTTGGTTTATAAACATATTAAGTATAGAACTATCCCTCAAAAGATTTATAAGTCAATTTAATTTTCGTTTGGGGGTATCACCTTGAATGTAATGGATTTTCTAGGTCAACCAACCCTTTACCCTGCGGTTTGCCAAACCAAGGCCCAATGTCAACCCTGCAGCAGAAAATCTTGGTTTATGATTTTGCAGGTTGGCCACACAAACAAGTGACAATCTGCTCCACCATGGTAACCTTTCCAGTTAAACATAATTCAATAGTTAAACATAATCAACAAACATATACATAGTTGAATCATAATTAGACATAAACAACCTGCCTGAGCGGAAACCGTGCGTGGCGGCGTTGACTTTCGTGAATAGCCTCTTTGATACAAAGTGCATCAAACGTGAGGTTTCGGCACACTTCAATCCTTTTTTCCCCACCTGCCAGGTGAGGGTTGTTAGATTTTATCAGAGTTGTTCTTCTCCTTCTCCTTCTCCTTCTCCTTCTCCTCCTTCTCCTCCACCACCTCTGCATCCACTTCCAGGTCCACTTCCGCCACTTCCATGTCCACTTCCGCCTTGCCAACTCTTCGCCAAGCTCTTCGCCAACTTCCGCACGCAGTGGGCACTGCTGGACCTCAACTGCAAGGGTCTGAGCGCACTGGGCACCGCTGGACCTCAACCTGGGACCGTCCGAGCTCAGTGAGCACCGCTGGACCTCAACCTGGGACCCTCCGAGCTCAGTGAGCACCGCTGGACCTCAACCTGGGACCCTCCGAGCTCAGTGAGCACCGCTGGACCTCAACCTGGGACCCTCCGAGCTCAGTGAGCACCGCTGGACCTCAACGGCCAGATAGAATGCCAGAAGATATGCCAGATAGAACGATAGAATGTCGCCCAGATGCCAGAATGTCAGAAGAATGCCAGAAATGCCAGAAATGCCAGAATATGCCAGATATGCCAGAAGGTATGCCAGAGATAGAATGCCATGCCAGATAAAGTGCCAGATGCCAGATAGATATGCCAGATATGAGATGCCAGAAGATATGCCAGAAGAATATGCCAGAATGCCTATGCCAGATAGAATGCCAGAAGATATGCCAGAAGATATGCCAGATAGAGTGCCAGAAGATATGCCAGAACATATGCCGGAAGATATGCCAGGTAGAATGCCAGAAGATATGCCAGAACATATGCCAGAAGATATGCCAGATAAAATGCCAGAAGATATGCCAGGTAGAATGCCAGAAGATATGCCAGATAGAATGCCAGAAGATATGCCAGATAAAATGCCAGAAGATATGCCAGAAGGTATGCCAGATAGAATGTCAGATAGATTGCCAGAAAGTATGCCAGATAAAGTGCCAGAATGTTTGCCAGATAGAACGCCAGAAGATTTGCCAGATAGAATGCCAGATAGAATGTCAAAAGATATGCCAGAAGATATGCCAGATAGAGTGCCAGAAGATATGCCAGAACATATTGCAGAAGATATGCCAGGTAGAATGCCAGAAGATATGCCAGATAGAATGCCAGAAGATATGCCAGATAAAATGCCAGAAGATATGTCAGATAGAATGCCAGAAGATTTGCCAGTAACAAAACGTATAGATGACATGGTGGGGATAACTCGAAGTAAAGTAATTTGGTTCTTTTTCGTGGCAATTCCGTGGTGTTCTTTTTTTGATCATTTCGTGCTGTGGAAAAGGATTCTTTTCTGTTTTGCAAGTCCAAAAAGCAGAGGGAGTGCCTGTGAGTCATTTTCCCATGCCTGCCAGTGGAAATTGGGACGGTTCGGCCAAGCAACGCATGCTGTACAGCTTTTGCTGTAGTCTTCAACATGTCTGTGCACAAATTGATGTAATGCCACTGCCAGAATCGCAGTTGCAATTTGAAGAAGAAGATAGCAACGTAGTTGCAAGTGATGTTAGAAGGGCCAACAACGTAGTTGCAATTTGAAAGATAACAGAAAACAACGTAGTTGTAGGTGATGTTAGAAGAGCCAACATCGTAGTTGCAGTTTGAAGAAGAAGAAAGCAACGTAGTTGCAAGTGATGTTAGAAGAGCCAACAACTTCGTTGCAATTCGAAAGATAACAGAAAACAACGTAGTTGCAAGTGATGTTAGAAGAGCCAACAACGTAGTTGCAATTTGCAGAAGATAACAACGTAGTTGCAAGTGATGTGAGAAGAGCCAGCAACGTAGTTGCAAGTGAAGTTAAAAGAGCCAACAAAGTAGCTGCAATTTCAAAGATAACAGATAACAACGTAGTTGCAAGTGATGCCCGAAGAGCCAACAATGTAGTTGCGATTTGAAGAAGAAGAAACCAACGTAGTTGCGCGTTATTTTAGAAGAGCCAACAACGTAGTTGCAATTTGGAGAAGAAGACAACAACGTAGTTGCAAGTGATGTTAGAAGAGCCAACAACGTAGTTGCAATTTGGAGAAGAAGACAACAACGTAGTTGCAAGTGATGTTAGAAGAGCCAGCAACGTAGTTGCAAGTTAGTAACGTACTTGGAAGTTCTTCGTGGACAGAACCTGAATACCCCACCCCGTGAACGTGGTTAGAGAAGTGAGTAACGTACTTGAAAGTTTTTCGCGGACAGAACGTTAATACCCCAACCCACCCCAACCCACCATACCCCATGAACGTGGTTAGAGAAGTTAGCAACGTACTTGGAAGTTTTCGTGGACAGAGCGTTAATAGAGAAGTTAGTGTTACAAGCACGGTTTTGGGTCCGCTGGCGAAAATATGCGTCATTCGCTACACGTTCGGTTTTCGGCCCCCCGGCATGAACAAGGCACCGCGGCCCGTAGCGAACTCGGTTTGTTTCTACCTTTCTCATTCGCAGCTGCAACATTTCATGCTTCAAGTTCTTTCAGAACTTTGGGCACAATTTGTCACAAGGAATGGCGATTATTGTATCGCATTTGCCATTGAGGAACATTGTTCCATATCTCTGCAAGATTTTAGCGTGATGTACGATCATGCAAAGAAGACATGTAAATCGTGGCATAACAGATTTTAGCGTGATGAACACTTTTTGCACAGAAAACATGTACAGCGTAGCATGAAAGATGAGAGCGTGATGTACAATCATGTAAAGAAGACATGCACAGCGTAGCATGCAAGATGTTAGCGTGATGTACAATCATGTAAAAGAGACATGTACAGCGTAGTATGAAAAATCCTAGCGGGATGTGCAATCATGTAAACAAGACATGTACAGCGTAGCATGAAAGACGTTAGCGTGATGTACGATCATGTAAAGAAGACATGTACAGCGTAGCATGCAAGGTGTTAGCGTGATGTACGATCATGTAAAAGAGACATGTACAGCGTAGTATGAAAAATGCGAGCGGGATGTCAAATCATGACGCCTCACTGCCGCAGCACTGCACGTCGACGTCTTCCCTCTGGGATGTCGCTGGCTGCCTGTGTCTGCGTCAACCGCTTCCGAGTGCCACCGTAGCTGGCTGCTGCACTTGCTGGGTTTGTGTCAAACCTCCACGACCTTTGCGCAGTCGTGCTTGGCAACAACCTCGCTGTGTGTCCTTCTGCTGCGGCAGCTGTGTTGAAATGCACAGCGATGGCTTGGCAACCGACCCCTTTTTCCTCCTCGCTGCAGTCCCTCAGGGCTTCCTCGCATGCCTCCATCACCAACTTCGCCACAATGGTTCCGTACACCGAAGCCTTCAAGTACTTCCACGTCGTCCCAGCAGCGATTGCCACGTCGTGCGTGGGTTCTTCGCTTCCCATTGGGTGGACACACCATTTCACATTGTCAGTCGACGTAATGCATCTCCACGTCGAGCCCTGCGAATCAAGTTTCCAAAGATTGGCGCAAGACTTCGAGGCACTTTTTGCAACCGAAGCAGCGCTTCCGCAAGCTGTCGTAGCATGAGAGACGTTAGCGTGATGTACGATCATGTAAAGAAGACATGTACAGCGTAGCATGCAAGATGTTAGCGATTGTTAGCGTGATGTACAATCATATAAAGAAGACATGTACAGCGTAGCATGCAAGATGTTAGCGGGATGTGCAATCATGAAAACAAGACATGCACAGCGTAGCAAGCAAGATGTGAGCGTGATGTACAATCATGTAAAGAAGACATGCACAGCGTAGCATGCAAGATGTTAGCGTGGTGTACAATCATGCAAAAGAGACATGTACAGCGTAGTATGAAAAATCCTAGCGGGATGTGCAATCATGTAAACAAGACATGTACAGCGTAGCATGAAAGACGTTAGCGTGATGTACGATCATGTAAAGAAGACATGTACAGCGTAGCATGCAAGGTGTTAGCGTGATGTACGATCATGCACAGAAGACATGTACAGCCTAGCATGAAAGATGTTAGTGTGATGTACAAAATTGTAAAGAAGACATGTACAGCGTAGCATGAAAGAAGGACGCTATAGCCCCCCCCACCCGAAGGGTTGTGTGATCATGTGAAGAAGACGTCTGAAGCGTAGCATCGAACATGTGAGCAAGTGCAAAAGGACGTTAACAGCCCTCCCACCGGAAGGTATGCGTAATCATGTGAAGAAGACGTCTGAAGCGTAGCATCGAACATTGTGATCATGTGAATAAGACATGAAATCATGCAAAGAAAACATGTGTGGGTGCAGATGAAAGTCATGAAAGTTTAAAAAGGAGCAAAAACGCCGAGTTCGCTACGGGCGGCGGTAGCATAAACAACCTTAAAACATATCAAACCAACCAGGAACTTATCAATCCGTGTATTCACCGGGCTTGACGGTACCCACGTGTTTTCTCAGGCCTGAGATTCCCTGAGATTCCCGGCTTTCTGTCATGGGTACCTTTTGTGTGCCGCTGCCCCAATTGTAATTCCCGTTGTCATCAAAGCCGTGGTATTCGTAACTGCCGGCTGGCTGAGAGACTGAGTTCATATATCATATATATATAAATATGATTCGATTATGCATCATATATTGTAAGTGATAATGTAAGATGTATTATTTATATCCCCATATATTCATAGATATGTGATTATGTGATATATTATATCATATCCACATTTACAGCAAGTCAAGATAGTCTGGATGTTCCGCGGCTTAGGGAAATGATCTGAAAAACGTGTAAGTCACAATCATTTTGGTATGTTCTCCAAACTACCAGATTTTTGGAAATACATGAAAAATACCCCCCAAAC